ACGCGTAATCCAAGATCTGTATTTTAATTGCTGCCGTTGGACACATCCAGATTACGTTCAGGCCACTTTCCCGTCATCTCTTTGTTTCCCTCGAAGCCATTTCATGCATTTCCTAATACCAGCTTAGCCTCCGTGCTCCTCCTTTTACCAAACAGGTGCACCGGCTTCTCGTGGAGTGGCCGGGTTGAAAAAGTGCAGGAGAAAGGAGTGCTACTTGTGGATTTGTCACGACCCTCCTTGCATTACATCACTGAAATACTCCGGCACTGATGACATGGGAGGAGGCGGCCCCTGGGGATGATGTCATTAACGACCAATCCGAGGACTCTGGGCCGGTCAGGTCTGCTCTGAGCTCCTGGGCTCCTGAGGCTGCAATTGTGGTGTTCCAGCCAAATGTCTTTTCCCGATCGGATCATACGCCTTCCTGTCTCAGCTGCGTTTCCCAATGAAAGAAGAATGCATGATTTGATCTGACCGTTGGCCTTGAGGCTAAAACGAAATTACCTCAGATATGCAAAGTAGATGTTCCCATTGCCATACATCAAGTGAGAGCCGCGATGTCTACAGATTTGAGTTATCCAGATAAATTGTGGGTCTTTGATCCCGGTGGCATTTGTGGATTGATACGGTATACCATTAAAGCTGGGGTACCTAACTTTTTTTGATGATAACACATTTAGTTTGTCCCAATAGACAAGATTCTATGCTGTTGCTATTGAATTAGAAAACATGTTATCTTCTTGTAAGAAAGATTTTGGCTGAGGGCTGATTGGTTAAGTGAGAAAGTAAGTAAGAAATCTTTTTTTTATAAAGCGCATTTTTACAGACGAAGGTCACTCAAAGCGCTTTACAATGTTCAGAGTTGAGTTAGTGAGTGAGTGAGGGTGGTCCGGTCTTTTTCACTTCTGTGTCTTCTCTGAGGAAGCTGAAAAATGTGAACCAAGGCTAAAAATCCATGTGAAAACTAATGATTGAACTGTTTTTAGGAATGAGGAGCTAGACTTAGATGGATTTGATTATGTTTTGTGGTTTTAATTTAACCCCCTTCTTTAAAGACAAATTTGGCAGGATGACATTGACAAAAGTAATGTAGAAGTTAAAAGTTTTTGGAAGCCCAGATTGACCATGGCATACAGGCTTTGTGAAGAGCGACTGAAGTCTAGACATATTTCTAATTCAGGTCCCTAAATTCAACTCCATTTCAATTTTTTTTGTAAAGCCCCAAATCACAACATCAGTCGTTTCGTCGGACTTCACAAAGTTGTCAATTCACCAACACAGATCAGTGAATTAAACCCAGAAAGGCAACAATAATAATAACAAACCAGACATCAATAATGCACTACATTCTTCAGAAGTTTTCCATAAGTTCACTCACTCCAACCAACAATATTTGCATTTATCAACATAGAAATCTAGCATTCAATATTCAAGCATACATGTGTCTTTTGTCAGCATTAAAAATATGATTTATTTTATCATTCTAAACTGATTGATAATGATAAATATGGGTGGATTTGTACTTCCCTGCACTAGTTGCCTTTTCGGTCACAATAACAAACTAAATTGACTCATTCTTCAATAATTGATGAAAGGAAATATATTTTGGGGCTTTATATTTATTGTTTCTGTATTTTTCCTTCAAGACTTTGTAATAAAATCAGGTTTTAGCTACAGAGGGTTGAATATTTAACTTTTCAGGCCACATTTATGGCTATGGTTCTTTTAATGAAATGTAGAAACTGAAATACTTCTACTGAGATTATGTTTTATCCTAAATATTTGAGGGACATAAAAGTTTATTGCAATGTTTTTGAAGCAATATATCGTCAGTCCAAACGTGTTCCTACGAGCGGTAAAGTTTATTACAGACTTATTTCAACAAACTTCTTCTCATAATTAAAGTTGTGCACCGCTAACAGTCTGCAGAATGTATTATTTAGTACGAGCTGCTGCGGTAACACTAGGAGGCAATAGAATTCAGTTTACAGCCTGCGTCTTTCTCTTCCATTCACGCTGTGTGGCTGTTTAAAGTTAGCAGCTCTCTCTCTCTCTGATGGGATTGCTGCAAAACGTTCAAATTGTAAAGCCATGTAGAGGTACCGTTGCCTTTTGCCTCCTACATACTTCTGACTCCTTATCAAATATTTGCTTTCAGTTCAGATAATTTACAAGGACCTAAAGCCATTATAGACCTTGGGATGGATTTTTTGCAAAAATAAATTTTTTCAATCCAATAAAAGCACCTCTGCTCTTAGATATTCTACTTTATTGGTGTTATCCAGTGTTTTATAGTAATCAGCCTTTTTATGAACTGTGATGCCATTGCTGTGAGGTGATGCTGGTGCTGTGTGGACAATGGAGATCCAACAGTTTGCATAAGGCTCACGGCACTTCCTGGTTGGATTCGTGTTTGTTCTGTTGGGCTCAAGTGGTGCACATTCTTGTTTTCGTTTTGGTGTAAAGCTATAGTGCTATCTTTCATCCTTTCTGGATTGCCTTCATGTTCTGGAATTCTGTTTCAGCTGGTGGTCAGGTGCCAATACAACTCCACCGGTAAGAAGCTAATTATGAAAGAAATCATTTATAGAGATTTTTTTTATATGCAATGGTCAATGAGGATTCCAACCCATTGATTAATCCGGTTTAAATCTCATGTTATAATATAGGTTCTGTATCACTGTACCTGAGACGTCGCCATAGTAACCATTGAGCACAAACGGTTAACTTCAGATTTTTTTTATAAAGTTAAACAGCAGTAGGTTGAATTAATTTGCTACACAATCAAAATATTTCCTGTTTGGTAACATGCATGAAGTAGGAAAACGTTGCTTTTTCTGTGTCTACATTTGTCCCTTGCCAACAGTTGCTAAGGAGATTTTGCTGGCGTTTGGCTCATAAAGTAGTCCCTTTCCTCAAACATGTTATAGAAGACAAAATATATTTCTTTCTAATATGCTATAAAAAGTGTGTGTGTTTTGACTATGGTATATGCGGGTTCTTTGATAGTGTTTAGAGTCACAAACTCTAAAAGTCTGAAAGTCCTTTCTACTATCCAAACTCAAATGCATATGTTATTTGAATATTGTCACCACTTCTAGACCCCTGACAAAGAAAATGTGGAACTTTGTGATTGTTTTCTAATTTGGATTGGCCCAGGAATTACAAAGAAATTATCTAAACGTGAAGACTTGAAGTAGGTCTGTCAAGATAACTTATTTTTATGGACATTTATTGCGAGAAACTACATCCAATCGTTCACTTTACCCATCTGCAGCTAAAACTCTCTCCCCTCTTGCAAAGAAAATGTAAAAGTATGTGTGTATATGTATGAATAATATTGAGCCAAAATAATAATAATATTCTTTCATCCTTCAGTTATTGAATGATTCCTTAAAAAAAACCCGCCCCCCTCTCAGAAAATAGTTCCGACGTCCATGATGATAGTAATTACTGTGACAGGCCCAACTAAGTTTGACTTTTCACAGTTACCATAGTTACTTTTGCGATGTCTTATCTCACACTATTCCCTCTGTTCCCCCAAACCCATATCATGACGTGTGACAAATGCTGATGTGGTTTGTTCCGTTTTCCCATTTCTGTGACTTCTTAAGCCTCCTGTTAGCGGCACTGCTGTAATGGTTGGTGTTCCGCTGTGCTGGCATGCAGAGAGACGGGAGTTAGAAGCAGATTGATACACCATGCGGAAGACGAGCTGTGATGATGACGAGCGAAGGCCGCACCGTAAGCTGCTTATCACCGCGGAGCAAGCGAGTTAGAGGGGTGCAGCCGGCAATCACTTTGGAATAAACTTTGGAGACAGCGAGGGCTTTTCATTTTGTGTTGAGCTTGTGATGAAGACATGTTGGTTTACAACAGAGGAGGCGTTGACTTAGTATCACTATCTCATCTTGTGACTTCATACAATATTTGTATCGTCTGAAAGTGGGAGTACAGTAGTGTCATTGTGCTGTATACATGTGTTTCCCAGGAAGAGATGAACGACTCAAAGGAAAATTAGCTGAAAACTTTTTGAAGATATTCTAAATTATGATTTCAAGCTATAGTTACCTAACTTTCAAACCACATAAACATGAAAAATTATATAGTCACAGATCTTTGTCTCAATATGGACCTCCCCAAGGTTTTTGAGTGGACAGCAACGGACATTTCTGGACATTTAAGGACCTTTATGAACATTGGTCACTCCCTATGGACCAATGGCTGCTGTTTGTTATTAATGCATTTCCTGTGTTCTAAAGGTTTGATTCTCTGATCTTTTGTAGGTGAATCAACAACTACTAACCCTACTTTGTGTAGTCCACTCCTACACGACTGATGTTGTGATTTAGGGCTATACAAAAATACATTTAATTGAATTGAATTTTCACATGCATGCATTTTTTTTTTTTTAGATCAGCTGAGATCAGACAGATAAGTGAAAAAGAGAGAACCACCCTCATTCAGCCAATCAGCTCTCAGCCCAAAGCATCAAATGGTGACGCACAGGGCTAGTATGATAAAATGTGTTTTAGATGGAGACATTATGTTGTGGTGAAATTTTCCCAACAATTTTACTCTTTCTGTAGGTAGAAACAACATTTAGCATGTATCTGGTGCTACAGCTTTAAGTTTAGGATAATGACAATTTTTAACTTTGTACCACCTTTGTTTCATGTGGATAGACCAAGCAATGATCTTTAAAAGCCTTTTAACCGTTCAATAATTGTGTTCCAACCTGCCCTCCGACACAGGCTGTATAATGTAGTGATGTCACATAAACCCATCCAACTGAAGGCAAGACTTTATGCATCAAAAGTCAACATGTTTCTTCCTGTCTTATGGGAACGTAATGCTAAAACGTTCCCTTATGTCGCACTCATAAATCTATCACAGCTGTTGCCACGACTCTGGAGCTGTGGAGCAGAAATCTCTCTCCTCACGCGGGGGAATGGGTGTGATCAAATTAACTCTGCTCTGTTCCCTGGTGCTTTTCCCTCATGACTCCAAAGCGATCCTTCTCACCGGTTCCCTGGAGATCAGAGCTCCCAGCGGAGGTACATTCTTCCTCTCCATCTCCCAAAGCGGACGTCCCAGTGGTAGCTCTGGCACACCCCGCCCCCGGCCCGGAGGTGGTTGTCATGGGCGACCGGGCAGACATCCGAGCCGGTGGCTGCAGGTCACCTTACACCTACTCCGAATACGAGTTAATGAAGTGCTCACAGAGGGAGGTAGTTCTGCTGGCTACACTCACAATACAAACTTATAATTGTATTGAGACACACACAGAAGACAGGGGCCGTTAGGCTGCACCGAGCGCCTCTGTTAATAAACGACAGCGGCATTTCATCACTGCTTTGAAATACTTTTGCCACTGAATTATACTCCATAATACTAAACAGTTGTAAGTTAACACAAACTTAGCCAGAGATGTCATTGTTTTAGCCATATTTTGGAGATGTTGAAAGATGATCACTTTTCCCTCACTCAGTCAATCCATTCATTTCAATTAAAAAACACAAATTCACAGAACAACAATTACACACATGCACAGGTACAGGTTTTGAAAAGGGGCTGTACTCATATATTGTCAAATAAACATTTCTCATAGTGTCAAATTCTAACATAATTGAGTCAAACTTGAGGCTTTTTTATCTTAAATGTGACAATAATGAGAAAGTAATTAGAGACTTTTTTCACTCTTTTAATTTTTTCTTTTACATATAGTATCTTTCGTTCCCACTACAGACAACATTACATATTTAAATCAATTTATCTATAAAAAATATACGTAATGTTATATGTATTTTGTGAATATATTGTGAGTGTATTGTGTCATGTATCTATGTGCAGCACTGTGGACATAACGTGCATTGGATTGGATAATCAACAGATAATGCTGTTCCACTTCTCTACAGTCTATTCCCTCATGCCGTGTGTCCAACAGCGCCTCCTGCTGTCACTACCAGCACACGACACTCCTCTAACAGTTCTGGATCAATGCATGTTAAACACTGCAGCAGACAGATGTCATGTTTGTGCTCGTGAGAGAAACGGGGCAATAACCAGCTCTGGTCCTGTTCCTCTGCTATAATCAAGCTACTCTCCTCTCTCCCTCGAGCTTGTTTTGTTAGCTGCATAATGGTGGGGGTGGGCTGGGGGGTGGGGGACTGTAATGGAGATAAGGAGAGATTCAGAGTGGATTTGACTATTGACTTTTTACGAGAACACCCTCCGCTTTCTCTCTTCCCCAAAGACCGAGTTAAACTTTATTGGAGTTCTAGTGTGCCCAGTGGGGACAGTATTAACTTTGCGTTTAAGTGAAAGATCCGCAAAGCTCGCCCACTCGCAATCCCACCTGGAGGTTACAAAGTGGAGGAATCAGTTTTTTTCAAAATGTGGTAGTCATCATGATAATGCAAGTCACATGTTCTCAGTTATCTTTAAATAAGACGGTCTCACTTTTGGCAACGCTGCATAACCTTTTGACTACTGAGCAGAATCGGCTTTAGCTGTTATTTTCTCTGCTCATGTACCCACTCAAAGTTGATTTTAAGATCCTTGTTTTCACAGCCAGCAGCAATAATAATAATAATAATGCATTGGTTTGCATTATGGAACACTTTTCAGGACACTCAAAGACGCTTTAAATGTCATTATGCTTTCACTCCATACACGGTGGTGATTAACTACTACAGTAGCCACAGCTGCCCTGGGGCACACTGACAGAAGTGAAGCAACCAGTATGTGCCATCGTCCCCTCCAACCACCACCAACTATTCACAGCCGCCCCACTGGAAGCAGATGACCATAGTGTCCATAAATGTCCTCAAATTTCTCGAATCATCAGATGCCCCTGGGGGGGCAACCAGGCCAGATTCAGGGCTACCATCATCACGCTATGGAACAGACAATGAGACAGCGGGTCCTATACTCTGTCTCCCTCTGGGACAAAAAAATGTGGTTTCATTTTTGATACATAGAATTACACAGGCATTTTGGCACAAGGATAACTGCGACATTGAGATTCAAAATGTTCAAAAGTAATATTGGACATGTGGTGATTTCAGATCAACACAATGCCATAATTCTTCATGTACACATTCTCTGATACTCCCTTGCTTGTTGTGATATCAACTCTCCCCACAACATTTTCTGCTTCTATTCCCAGCGGAGCCAGTAGACCACACGTCTGTAAGTCATATCATGTTGGCAGCGCTGTCTGGACTCCCCCATTCACACATACGCACTCTAATTGGAGACTAAATTGTAAGTATCGTACATACCAAAGATTTCCCGGGCGCCCGCAGGTCTGAGAAAGACAGAAATGTAGCGTGGATCTCTGGTCATTAGCAAAAAAGGAGGAAGCCTTATTAGCTGGAGATGTTGAAATGGCAACTTTTGAGACAGGTTCAGTGAGGAGAGATGTGTGACATTTTTAAAGCAACAGTAAGAAAGGTTTATTGGTCAGTCTTATATGTATTATTCAGGTGTTTGCTTTATTGGAGAGTGGCTTTAATGAGAAGACAGCTGGGCAACATTGTGGAGATCTTGACAGTCCTAGGATGGGCTTAGTGTGGACTCGAACTGGGGTAGGTTCAGTATAATTTTAGATGCATTATATACACATTTTGACATGTGGTGAGGGGTTAGATCAGTGGTTCCCAACCTTTTGAGCCCTTTGTACCCCTTTGCTATTGTAGAAAGGGCACAATTACCTGTTATTAGGAGGGAAAAAGGGCATTTTATTTCTCATTGAAACGTTTTTAGCTCTGGTTAAAGTTATGTGTTTCATTTATAGATATTCTTTCATCATATATTTTTGTGGGAAGACATTTCTTGTTTTGACTGAACCAAAATGTAACCATAAGTACAAAAGGCCTGCAAACTGATAGACCAATTATTATCATGAATTGCGTTATGAGTTTAATGTGTATAATTCAGTAAAGTACATGGTTGGCTGGCTTTAAAATGAGGTATAACATGTCATGGTTAACCATATTAAACTCTACTATCACTAAATGTAAAAATTTAATTATGCCTCCTTATGTTTAAAGCTTAGAAGGTTCTTGTGACAGTAGTACTTAAGCCCCGTCCCAATTCTCACCCTAAGTTACCATGTGCCACAGAAACATGGGTTGGATTAGATTATAAAAAACTTCAAAAAGGTGAATGAACTGTGTTGTATGACTGCATAAACCAGTGACAGTCAAATCACTGAATGAACTTTCTCGTGACAGTTTTCCCACAAGTGTCAAAAAGATACATTTCCCCGGCGTCCTACATGCAGTGAGAATGTGGCCCGACTGCATCGAGCTCGCATTCCTCCACCTGCACTCTCAGTTTTCACGTCGGAAGTGGCCTATCTTCTGTGCCATCAGTCAGAAGAGAGAGCGTCTTGTTCTGCAGGTCACCTCCAGAGCCGTGTCCTGGAGCCTGACATGCTCTGTGCAGCGGCAGGGGGAGAGCGCTGTGTGCCCTGGGCCTCACATGAATGACACTGACAAGGACGAGAAAAGAACAGGGAATTAGAAATGACCAGAGTCGACCAGATCTGAAAAATGCTCCAACATTTCCCAGTGTAAGAGAAGTACAGGTTTTTGCTTTTTGGTTCATTTGCCTGCAGTATTTTCTTCAGTGTTATGATTTTACCGTCATCCTGTCACAAAGGTCAATAGATACTTTGATATTGTTTGCTATTATCGAATAACCATGATTGGAATGATTTGGCCATGATTTGGGTTTGTCTTTGTTATTATTGCATTTTCTGATCCGTTTTTGATTTAGCGCTATGCAGAAACACATTGACTTAAATTGTTCATCGGAATTTGTCATTGTCGATTACACAAATTAAGAGTTTTTCTTTCAAAATAGATATCTCCGTTTTGAAAATGCGTCAAAATGTTGTATTCCTCCATATTTACAATCTTCAACATATTTTTTTTATTGGAAAGGGTGAACATGTATTTGTATGGCACTAAAATAAAACTTTAGTCAAAACACTGCTTTGTAAAGGGTAAATTGTAAGCTTTTCAAATATTTTTTGTACAGTTTTTTTGTGTTTTTGCAAATTAGGTGCACCCATGGATCTATAATAATTATTGGATAGGGCATTACTAGCTTATAGCTGTCCCACCCATAGACACAGGGGGCGCCCGTGATACTGTAGACTAAACCAGACTAAATTCACGTGGGCTTCCTAGAAAAAAGTCCCATAGAACTCAATGTAAATTAAAACAGCTCGACCTCAGCTGACAGAGAACCTACAGTACAGCTTTCAGAAAGGTCGGATTTTGTGGGGATTTATTTGTCCCTTGTCATCCTGAACTTTTTTCTTTCGGTTTTCTTTAAATCCACACTTTACTGCCACAAACTCTGCTTGTTTCCTTCCCCACTTTGACCCCGATCTGCCGCTGCTCTGATCAGCAGCTCTGATTGGTCAAAGCGCTGCTGAGCCCCTCTGTGCACGTGCATGAGAGCCACACGCGTATTTAGCGCAACGCATCATGGGAGCTCGTCCACTGCGCAGAACCGGGAGGACCAGACGATGCCCAAATATAGGCGAGTTCTGATAATCTCCCGGTCCCCGTGAAGTCCCATGCGCTACTGAGCACAAGCCTTTCATTTGAATAGGGATCTTGGATCACCGGGGCCTGGGTGCAACTTGTCATCTTTTTGCATGACTTTTGAGAAGTTGAAATGGATTACTTCAACATAATTTTTCGCTCTTAACAGTAACATGAAATAGATTGATGACCATAATGAGCCACCTTCCCCATGTGCATCTACCATGTCCAGCTTATCAGTGAAACATGCTTTTAACCATGACATAAACCACACGGTATCATCCCAAATCTCTCGTACGCACACGATAAGACGATCTACAAACCTATAACTCTTCACACATCACACTATTCGTGTCTTGAGGGCATCTGTGTTTATCGCACACAACAGAGCCTTGTGCGAGTCTTACGGGACTGTAATGTTGTCTGAGAGTGGGAGAGCTCCGGGGAGACATTCCTCCATACAAATAAGTCCGAGTTTGTGTGAGAAGCAGGGGGACCAGGCTCTTTCAATCATCGCTGACATACCCGGGGCATCGGTGCGAGACGGAGTTCCCTATCTGGCGCCCCCGCGGTGACATGGGGACTATCGAGGGTCAGTTTCGGAACGTGTTGTGATGAGTGACGGAGAGCGGAGGGAGGCGGGCCTTAGGGAGCAATGCGTGTAATTGTTGGTTTTGTTTAATTATAGGTTGGGGGGCAGCACGAGGCGACCTGCTTCTGGTTAGATCTGATCTCAGGACAGAGGAATTTGAGAAGTGCACTCAGTCAGCTGCTTGTTCAACTTGGCGTGGTGTCACTCAGTAAAATGCAAGGGTCTTTTCAGTCGTGTGTCGAGCTGTCAGTTCTTTCCACATCCTTTTTAAGTGTTAAACATGTTTTGCAAAGGTGAAAATACAGCAGGTCAAGTTTTAAATTACAGCCGACCATCTGCATGCTCATCACTTCTGTGGGGAAAAAGTGATAATAAACTTTTCAGACTCAAAGTTATAACTATTTTCCAGCTTTCCATTCCTGTTCTTTTCTTCAACAATATTTAGTATGTCTTCAGTCTGCTTATGCTTACGGGCTGACTAACTTTAGCTTAGCGTTAAAAAACTAAATATATCACATTTTAAAAGCTTTGCAATTGTTTATATTAATGTGTTGAAGACATATTTAATCTCTGACATTGCACCAATTCTAACATCTTGTAAAAGTGTTTTATTTACATTGGAGGTGTTACATGTTAGCTGTCTGCCCTGACATTAGGAAAGTCCATATGCTAAACATTATCTGTCATCAGCCGCTCTGTGTGTTTATGTATGTGCTTTTCCCTGTGTGTGCGCGTTTGCATGTGTCCCTGTGTGTGTGTCCGGGTCCATTTGTGTGTGTGTCCATTTGTCTCTGTGTGTCTGTGTGTGTGTATGTATGTTTATATGTGTCTGTATGAGTGTATTTGTATGTGTTTTTACATGTGTGTGCGGGTGTGCATGTGTGTGTGTGTGTGTGTGTGCCCATGCTTGTCTATGTTTATGTTGGTGTGTTTGTGTGTGTCTATGTTTGTCTCTGTGTCCCTGTGTGTCCGGGTCCATTTGTGTATGTGTCTATTTGTCTCTGTGTGTCTGTGTGTGTATGCATGTGTGTCTGTGTGTGTGTCCGGGTCCATTTGTGTATGTGTCCATTTGTCTCTGTGTGTCTGTGTGTGTATGCATGTGTCCCTGTGTGTGTGTCCGGGTTCATTTGTGTGTGTGTCCATTTGTCTCCGTCTGTCTGTGTGTGTGTATGTATGTTTATATGTGTCTGTATGAGTGTATTTGTATGTGTTTTTCTCTGTGTGCGCGCGTGTGCAATTGTGTGTGTGTGTGTGTACCCATGTTTGTCTCTGTTTATGTGAGTGTGTTCGTGTGTGTGTGTGTTTGTCTCTGTGTCTGTGTGTGTGTGTGTGTCTGCCATGGATGTATTGGTGTCTGCATGTGTCCCTGTGTGTGTGTCCGGGTCCATTTGTGTATGTGTCCATTTGTCTCCATCTGTCTGTGTGTATGTATATGTGTTTGTATGCGTGTGTTTGGATGTGTCTGTGTCTGTGTCCATGTGTAATATTGTGTGTATGTGTGTGTCCATGTGTATGTTTGTGTGTGTGTGTCTCTATGTGGGGGTGTATGTGTGTCCGTATGTCTGTATGCACCAACCACAGCTCTAAACAAACCAGTCTAATGATATTTTCACGTTTGTTTTCCAGTAAACAGATTCATCTATTCACTTTTATTTTAACATTCTGCAACTTTCAACTTTCTGCAGCTGCAAAACCTCACGCTGCAGCAGACTTGTGTGTAGACTTGTGTGTAGACGTGTTTGCAGACGCGGTTGTAGCTGGACTTGTTTGTGCGTCTTCTTAAGCCAACAGGACGCGGTGCTTTTCACAGAGCACAAAGGCTGTAGTGTCCCATGATCACATCCTTTTGGAAACAAGAGAGCGGCGGCAGGACGGCTCATGTCGCGCTCCGCCGCGTCGTTCATCAGATAACGCCATCGTACATCTGCAGAGGTGGAAGAACGCCTGTGCGCAATACAGAGCAATAATACTCACGTTTCTAGTCGGACCATTGCGTATTCACAACATCAAATATACAGTGCATTCAACTCAATTCAATTTGTTTTTGTATAGCCCTAAATCACAAAAGCATTTGTTGCAAAGGACTTTTAAAAGTTCAAGTTTGATTCTCCAACAACGGATCAGAGAACCGCTCGAACCAGGAAATGCATTAATAACAAAAACATACAAGCCTTTGGTCCATAAGAAGCAGGATGTCCACTGTCCATAAAGTCAGTCATAAATTTAGTCATAATCCCAACCATTGCACTTTATAGTCCCATAGAATTATTATCATTCAGCACTAAAAACACAACATTAAAAGTATTGCTGAATCATTTTATCGTGTGACTTATTCTGCTTACGACCAGGTTTCGATTGTTTCTCACTCACTCTTACCTAAGCACTTGCTGGCTTTTTTACTGGCTATCTTACTCACCGCTCAAAAATAGATTTAGATTAATGCATTCATATTTGTGTCAGTATTAATCTCCGGAATCCAAAACACCATTTCTCCAGGGGCTACATTCTGATTGCTACTTTGCTGCACTTCAGAACTGACAGCGTTTATGGTGATGTATCGCAAAAGGCCAGAAGGGCAGAGTAGGACTGACATCTGATGGGTACAGACATGTTCTTTCAAATATATCTGCCGTAATCGCCGGACTATAATCCGGTGTAGCCAATGTATGTATTGTTATTGTTTTCCTCCAGGGCACAGGAAAGAATTTGGACATCAGCGGTGGTTAATGTTTATGTGAACAGCAAGAGAGGGTTTTTTTTATGTGAATAGGGCTTTTGTCAGAACAGAGTCCATCCAGGTTTAGTTGAGTTTGTTGTGGGCGGCACGGTGGCTGCGTGGATAGCACTCTCGCCTCTCAGCAAGAAGGTCCTGGGTTCGAATCCCGGTCGGACAAGGGCCTTTCTACCACAAAAAATATGTACAATAGGTCCGGCATGCGCCCCCTGTACTGGCGACCCCGCTCCCATCTCTGTGTTGAGTGAAAAATAACAAATTGTAAACCGCTTTGAGACTCAGATCTGCAGTGAAAAGGCAGTATATAAATAAAGATTACTTTTGTTGAGTCGCAACATGGAAGCTAACAGTTAATATTTGTCTTACAGTTCTTTGTTATTGTTAGTGTTATTAGCAAAACGTTGATCAGAACAAGTTAAACACTGTGTCATCATTAAATCATGGTGTGTCCAGTTACACAACAGCTGATAGACGACTGTTTAAGTGTTTTGTTACAACATGAAAACCTGCTTATATACTTAAATTTACTTTTCACTTGATATGTAAGGCGACCTTGAATATTATGATTATGATTATTATTATCATTATATTCAAGTATGGCTTATATGTGGACAACAATTACTATCAGCTTGTGTGGTACATGTGTACTTGCTAGTCCAACTTTTATTTTCATCTTGTGTGTGGTCATCCTTTTGTGTTGCCGCAGTAAAAGCACCACATTCACAGCACAGTCTCTTAAAGCAAGTGCACGGTTGGTTTTGTGACTTCCACCTGCACATTTTTTACTCGTCTGACATGTTTTTGCTCGTATCTCTTCTTAACAAGTGTCCTCCTTTTGCACCCCCCCCAGAGCACATTTAACGGTATATACTGTATATTGCAGAGGGTGAGGGGCCAGTCCTGACTCTCTCTACGTCCTGGAATGCAGTTGACTTTCTAAATCCCCAGCAGTCTGTCCTGAGGCTGTGGGGCAGGGCCTATCTCTTGCCCCCTCTTTTTTCCAACGCAAGCCCCTTCTGGAATCTGTAAGTAAGCAGTTAGCCGACCCGTAGCCTCCACTCCTGTCACTGTCGCCTCACTCTCGTATAAATGCAATGGACGGTGAAATTGAGGAAGAAGAAAAGACAGGTAAATAGTAGATTTTTGTTCCCCCTCCTTGAATCTTGAATAGGGTCCGGGTCTGTCAGTTGAGTGTGATTTGGTTAGTCGTGTTTGGGAGTTATAAATAGACTTTGACATAGCATGAAGCCCAAGGATTGTGAATTTGAGCGGAGCTGTGGGGGTTTGGACGGTGCCGGTGACAGGGCTCTTGTAGTGACACACGCCGGCCTCTCGAAATAGTGCTTGCAGAAAAAATAAACAAAGTGAATTTATGCGATTATCTTCAAATGCATGTTAATGACCCAGGACATCATCGAATTATAACAGTTTGTTACTATTACTGAATGGTTAGCAGGTAAACACGGCTCCCTGAACTATCCCCCATGTAATTATTGTTGGAGTTGAATGCAAATTGTAACAGTAAATCTCATACGGGAACCAACATTTTGATAATTTTGGTGAAATCAAACCAGAAGTTCACTTTTTTATCTGCAAATCTTGCCTGTCCTTGACTAACAGCATATGAAATACTTTTGTGTAAACATAGTACTATCATATATTCATGTTTTTACATTGACTGATTGTGGAAAAATGCATTGATGTTTTTTTTTAATCCACTCTCTGAGCAAAATTTTTACTGTTTTGATCTGCAACTTCTGCTGTAGTTTGCTCCAACAATTTGTTGTTGTATTTGTACAAAGGCACTAAATTATCAATCCATCTTATTCTTAGGATATACAGGTGAAACCCCGAAAATTAGAATATTGATAAAAAGTAAATTTGCTTCTGTAATTCAACTTACAATATGAAAGCAATATACAGTATGATATAGACCAGGCAGGCCCAAACTAAGGCCCGTGGGCTAAATGCAGCCCTCTGTGTCAATTTATGTGGCCCTCTGCCTTACTAACTGAAAGTAGTCTTTGAGATCATAAACACAAGTTCCCAGTATCTTCCAGCCAACTTCAGCTCTACCAATATAGACATGATATACCTCAATCAGAATACAGTTGTTTACTCATAAGTATTGACGAATACATATTCAGACAAAAAGAGATTTACTTCTATACCTAACAATTTACTTCACAGACCACAAAGAAAACCTTCGACTCAGAACCAGAAGACTGTGACCAAAGAGAAATGTACAATATGCAATTATCATTGAACCCACTGTAAACAGATGTAAAATCCAGGTTGTCGGCCCCTGGACAAGTCTGGTGAACTAAAGTGGCCCTCTTACTAAAACGTTTGAACATCCCTGATAGACTCACATGCAGAGTGAGATGCATCAAGCCTTTATTTGTAAAAAAAAAAACAAAAAAATCCAAATAAAACATCTCTGAAACTATAATCAAAACTATAATAAACAAAGGCTTGGTACATTGTCCTTTGCATGTAAGTTTAGTTTAGTTTAGTTATTTATTTAAAAGGACAACGGACAGGTACATTAAAAAGATGGCTGCCCCAGATTTAGCACAATGCTAATTTCCATCTGTAGTCCTTATACAATCAAAAATACAATTAAAATACATAGCAGAGTTAATTACAATACAAAACATAGACAATAAACATGCAATATATAGTAAAAGTGCAGATGAAAAGTGCCAGTTGCGTTCATAAAGTGCAGAATGATAAAGTGCAACAGTTTTCATAATTATTTTGTAGCTATACATACTTAGCACATAGATACAATAGTTTTTAACACTAATAATGTGGTGATGTGGTGGCCATCAGACGATACCCGCGAGGGTAACACCTGATGGCCAAGTACCCATCTGGTACTTTTAGTGCGAGCAGGACTGTTGATCTAAAAGCCAGTCTTTAACTGCCCGTGAAAAACTGTGGAAATCTGCATTGTTCTTTAGATTGTCTGGGAGCCCATTCCATTCTTTAGTGGCTTTGTAGGAAAAGGCTGATTGAGAGAAGGCAGACTTTCTCTTAGGAACATTGCAGTCTCCCCTGGACACAGATCTTAATGCTCTGTTGGTTAGCTGTGAGCGAAGCTGTACATATGTTTTTAGGGGGGGTGGGGCAGTATCATTAAGAATCTTATGAACCAAACGTACATTGGAATACCTAATCAGATTGTCAAAGCTTAGTATGCTGTATTTTTCAAGTATATTGCAGTGATGGTACCGGCGAGGCTTTTTATCCAGGACTTTCAAAGCCTGGTTATACAACGATCAAAGGGGGTTTAAAACCGTTGTTTTAGCTTGAGACCATGAAGACACACAATACATGATATGAGATATAATCATTGCATTAAGATATGATGTAGCTGCTTCCAATGACAAAAAGCTCCTGATGTGCTGGAAGTTGGCGATGTTAAATTTCAGAACGCGGCAAACCTTTTTAACATGGTTTTTAAAATTAAGGGTAGGATTCAGCACTACACCTAGGTACTTGATTTCTTGGACATTTTTGATCATCAAACCATCCACATAGATATTTGGAAGAACACTCTTTCTTTTGTTGGAAAAATACATAGTGACAGTTTTTTCTGAATTCAGCGTAAGGCTTGACTTGTTCAACCACTCTTTTACTTTATTCATAGCTATAGATAATTTATCTGCGACAAGATTTGCATCAGAGCTGTGAGTAAATAGAACCGTGTCATTCAGCGTACATCAAGACCTCCACATCATCACAGATGGAAGGTAGGTCATTGATGTACAAAGAAAAAAGCAATGGCCCCAAGATAGACCCCTGTGGTACACCAGTAGTGCAGGGGCTAAAAGGTGAGATCTTATCATTTATTTTTACGCACTGAAAACGATCTGCAAGGTAAGATTGAAACCAACTAATAGTGTTTGCTGAAAGATTAAAATTCAACAGTTTTGTTAGCAGCACTGAGTGGTTAACTGTGTCGAAAGCCTTACGCAGATCCAGAAAAATGGCCCCAACCACCCCTCCTTTGTCTAGATTGGACTTAATCACCTCAAGAAGATAACAACAGGCTGTATCGATGGAATGTTTTGATCGGAAGCCAAATTGCATGGGGTGTAACATATTTCTATTGTCAAGGTGTTCCACCAGCTGTTCCGCAACAATTTTTTCGATAACTTTTGAGACAGTAGGAAGTATACTAATTGGTCTATAGTTTATCAATTCCTTTTTGTTACCTGCCTTAAAAATGGGCGTAACAACTGCAAATTTACAAGAGGAGGGGAACACACATTCTCTTAGTGATTGGTTCATTATGTACGTGATTGGACCAGTGAAAACCTCTTTATGTTTTTTTAGAAGGAGTGAATCAAATCCCCAACAATCTTTGGCTCTCAAATTTGAAAGTGAGGAAATTATTTTATTAACCTCGCCTTCGCTCACAGATTCAAAGTCTAGAGCTTCCACAGAAATGGATTGTAGTCCATCTGTGGGCCGCGTCGCCACAGCCCTAATAGAGGCTGCAGATGATGTTAAATGCAACTCCGTACTTGAGGATTTACGCAATTCCAAGATTGAAGAGATAAAATAGTCGTTGAACATGTTTGCGATAGTTGAGCTGTCCTTTGTGGTGACTTGTGTTACAGGTGTGAGTGTTCCAGTATTACAAGGGTTAATGTTAAGTTCAATAGGTCCATTTCCAGTCCGCTCTTTCCCAGAGAGACTGTCTATGCACTTCCATATAATTTTACTATTACCCTTGGCTTGTTTAATAATGTCCAAAAAGAAGTCCGCTTTTGCTCTTCTAAGCTGTCCAGTTACTTTGTTTCTGAGGCTTTTAAAGATCATTCGGTCAGTTCTCAAATTTGACTTGAGATACTTTTTTAGGGAAGCATCTCTATCCTTCATTAGGACCCATAGCCGCTCACTGAACCACGGTAATTTTTTTTTACTTTTAAATCTTCGTGGCTCTGTTTTTGTAAATTTTAGAAGAATTTGAGAGATTGCATTTTTAAGAGTGCTACAAGCCTGCTCGACATCCTGGCCAAAAACTAAATTATTTTGCATAGTAGTTTCAATTTCAGCATCTAAGGAGTCTATATCATGTATCACTTTCACATTTCAAGTTGAAGTATGTTTTGTGCCTGCTTTTCCACACTGAGGACGTCTTTTACAGAAACCTGGGACACTTTTGCCCAAAGACAGGCTCTTGCTGGATGAGAAAGATTCCACAGTTGAAGCGGTTCCTGAGGCTCATGGCTGTTGTTGCAGTGGTTTATTAAGAACAGACAGGAGAAGATGAAAAAATGCAGTGTTCTTATATTTGTGCTGGAGATCTTGTTATCCTGTTATCACACTTGTTCTTTGCAGCGCCTCAGTCCTGTCATACATTTCAGAAGAAAACTAAGAATTATGTGTTTTTGTTTCTGCCTCACAGCACGCTTTTAAGCTTTCAAAACACAAAATGAAAAGTCTTATTATACACAAAACCACTTCAAATCCCCTGTTTGCATGGTGAGGGATTGACGTCCATTATTTGGCACTGTTATGCGGTGAAAGGTACACATTAGGTCTTTGTCTTTTGTGGAGAAAATGGCAGCAGATCGGTTTAAGCTTTATTGCTCGGTTCCCACTGGTCTGCTGAGGTTTTGCCCTCAGACATATTCTCAAATTGATTTCCTGCTTTCTCTATGAAGTTTCCAAAAGAGCAGCTGTTTTACATCCCCAGTGTCATCCAGTTCTGTCTGTTGTGTTAAATTTAATGCTGAAATATAAGACAGTATTAACATGTCATCTCGTGGGCTGACACATTCAAGTAGCTTTTTCCCTTTGCTTCTGGGAAATGTGTCTAAAGTCTGATGTTTATATGCAAATTGTTTTGTCTATGGAGAGAAGTGAATATCTAGATCCATTTCACGCTTGTTATGGTTGTCAAAAAGTGAGTATTGTCTTTAATTGGCAAATTTTGTTTGTAGCTTTGGGCCCAGATGGAAGTTTATGCGTCATTTTATCATAGGACAAGACATTTTGCCTCCCACAATCCTGTGCATGACATCAATCTTTATATAACTAATAACTATCTATTAAGGTCAATACAAGTGGTTGAGAAAAGCATTTTACGAGTAATTGCTTTTCTGTCTTTCGCTCTGTAAAGCTCTCTTATTGCTTGTATGTGGTATAGATGTGTTAGAAAATGCATGGCCTGTGTATGACCTGACATGTCGAGTGGAGTTGACTCGACAATGTGTAGAATGTCTCTCCCTGCTCTTCACTCCTTAAAATAATCTCAGTTTATAGAATCTGCACAGAACTGTCTAATGAATCAAGGGTTATCTATCCTGAAAGAATAGAAGAGATGTGTCCTCTATAAGGCCTCTCTCAGATTTCCTTTTTAAACTACATAAAAGCATTTTCAGCTCTGATGCTCTGTGTCCTTCTCCCCTTCAGAGCAGAGCAAGAGCAGCCTGAAGGTGAGCTCCCCGGACGACAGTGAGGCGGCGAGTCGCAGGCAGCCATCTCCAAACGGGACGCACGTCTCCAGAGAGCGAGATGTGAAGAACAGCAGGGCGGTCTCACGCAGACACACGCTCGGAGGGGCACGAGGCTCCAAGGAGATCCTGGCCATGCAGCCCTCCGACATGGACAAGAAGAGGGAGGCCTTCCTGGAGCACCTCAAGCACAAGTACCCTCACCATGCGTCGGCCATCATGGGACACCAGGAGAGGCTGCGAGACCATGTTAGTTCCAATCTGTATTATTACTATTAACTTCATTGCTTTTATTTTAACTAAGTGTCTATATCTACATATCTACATCTGTGTTCAACAACCTCCCCTTAGGCATCGTGCTTCACCCAGGTGCCTAGTAAGAGTCTGATGTTTTCTAGTTAATTATTTCTTGTTGGTTGGAGGGGCCGATGGCACAGATTAGCAGCTTCATTGCCCTCAGTCTACCCCAGGGCATCCGTGGCTACAGTAGGTTACCACCACAGTGTATGCAGTGAATGAATAATTCTTCAGTCATATGAATTATTATTATTAATGATTTGAGAAAGTTTAGGGTCTTCTATGTTACACAATATAGACCTTTTCTCTATTTCAACTTTTAGTTAAAGTACATTTATCAAACAAACTGCAAAAATATGAGCTGTCAGGAAAATGCCTTTTTTCTTTTGAAATGTGAAAAGAAGGACATTTCAAGGTAATACCTGTTTACATGTACTCCTAGTGGTAAAACATCACAAATCATGCCAAATAACGCCTTTTGGGTATAGCGCTATACATGACTAAAAGAAGAAAAATATAACATACAATCACAAACTTGATAGAAAAGGATTTTTGACAGAATCAGACTGCTTTTGTAAACTATTGGTTTCTATGTATACAGAATAACACAGAAGTGAAAATTATCCGCCGGAAAAATGGTGCTGTGGCAACCATTGTACTAATTTCTCTGTCTGGAGCACACTCAGATAGTCTTGCACAGTTTTTCCAATGTGGTTTTACTGCAAATGGCAAATAAATTCTTGTATCTTGTATTCAATCCTGTTTTTTAAAAAGTTGAATACAGTCTCTTGTGGATTTGAACTATGTGAGAGTAGTCATTTTATTAAGTACCTCAAACTTGGCATGAAAAAGCTGCAGTGTTCGCAGATTAGGTCGTTTGAGCAATCAGCTGATGTGCTGCAGGCCGCTGGAGGACCATGTACCGTCCCAGTGCACTCTGGGAGATTAACCACACACAGCTTGCAATATCCTCACTGTCTCCTCTTGGACGAGCAGAAGAAATGGACAAGCTGGATTCAGTAGTAATTGCGCTAATTCCTGATCTTATATGAGGTTCAGTGTATTTGCCATTTGCAGTAAAACCACATTGGAATATCTGTGCAATGGAACCCCAGTGTGACCAGACAGAGCACATCAAAGCCACAGAAACAAAATAACACTTGAATTAGATGACATTTTTCTGGAGTTTTAACAAAGATTTGGCTAATCAATTTCAGCCACTATATTCTCAAAAAATCAATGAGTTATCTAGCGTGCCAATGTGAGATTTGGTCTAAATTTATCTCTGAAAAAGGACAAAGAAGCTTAAGTGATGCACAATGGTGTACTGGGTTCGATTCCACCTCTAGGAGTTTGCATGTTCTCCCTGCAGTTGCTCCGGTTTCCACTACCGTTAAAAACATGTACAATAATGTGAATTTAAGAGAGTGGTTTGGAGGCTTCGATGTGCCAGAGTGCTTGCTGTCTTGTTTCTGTCATCACCGTATGTGGAGTGACTGGAAAATATTTGTACTCCGAAACAATTTAAATTGCTTTGTGTGACCTTGGTCTCTGAATTGCGCCATATAAGTAAAAATTACTTGCTAAATAACTAAGGACATTGTAAAAGCTCAATCTCAACCGACAAATAGCTCAATATTTATAGACAAAACTACTTTATTGTATGAATATTTTTTACTATTATTGTTTCTTGATTCAATCTATTTGGGTTTTTAATATCTTGGGTTAATAATATCTTGTTTGTCATCTTTCCAAGTTTGTATACAGAGCAGTAAACAAACCATCAGTGACTAAATGAGTGTTTGATTGTTGCCGAAACACCATTCATTGCGACTACGTTTGTCACCACTATAGTTAATTACCGAGCGTAACATGTGACTTCAATCTCAGCCAATCACGGTTCTCTCCTGACTCAAAAGTATCCAGCTGTGATTGACAGGCAAAATGAAAAGCTCTAATGAGATTCCCGTCAGACCAGTCTTCACTCCGAGCACATGCAGCACTTTGAAAGACTTTGGTCGGGATTTTAAAACTGGACTTACCTTCACCAGTGCCACATGCCCACCCGCAGCAGCCCTCTGTATGGAGCGTGCCTGGGACAGCGAGAAGGTGGCTGCACCGGTGGGGTCTGTATTCTGGCCTCATTTCATCCTTTCTAACCCTGCATTGTTTTGAATCGCTTTGGAACTCTACCCAGTCACTTGCGCTTATGTCTCTTCATTCATTTATTGGCAGAGCAATTTAGACGTGTTCGATGTTTTGGTTCTTTCCTTTTTCTTTTGTTGTTCAAGTTAAGGCAAGGAACAAAACCAAAAAACTATTTCCTTATTCCCTTGCTGCAGGTTAAAATCATGGCCCAGCCTATAAATCAGCTTGTCACACTCCCTCTCACAGTTTGCCTTGAGAGAAAGAGGAGTTGCTTTTGCGCTTGCATTGAGATTTTTGCTTTCAAGGTAACTGTCAAACATTTACCAGAGCGTTTCCGAGGTAGTTTTGCAGCGTGGATATTATAACAGTGGATAGGATGAGTATACACTGCGGTTTACCTTGTCATTGTTTGGTCGCAATAGGTCAGGGAACGCAGAGGGGAAGGGACAAGCAGGGCCTTTGTACCCAAAACAATTGAAGGTAATGGTGAGCTTGGCATCTTGCCGCGGGGGAGCTCCATGCAGCAAAACAAGCATTGTGCAAAACAGTTTGTGTTTTCTCAGATTATGTGAGCTGCTTCCAACATGCAAATTTACCCTTTCGCCACAGTGGTCATAGGACATTTGCATTCCAGAAGAATCATGATGAATCAATGACTTTCTTTAGATTGAACAACTTTTTTTAATCATGCACTTGTGCTAGTGAGGGCTATGTGTGCATTACGTTCGATTAAAGCTGGGGTATCTAACTTTTTAAATGATATATAACACATGTTTGTCACAAATCAGATCACAACATGCTGTCTTCATCTTATTAGACTTTTTTTTTTGCAGACTTGTAAGAATAAACCTTGGAGTCACTATTGGACTCTTTGGGCTGATTGGTGATTTAACATTTCTGTCTGAAAAAGCCGATATAAAGGTGTGACATTTGCTAAAAATATGTTTCAATAAAAAGTGTTATAACCAGGTTGCATGGATTTTATTGCATAGATTAATTTATATTACTTTGAAATGTAGGTACTCTAGCTTTAACTTACAAAACTTAAGAAAATAAGCAAACGCTGGTTGTGAAATGGAGCTAGTCAGACAGGTAAGTTGGGCTGAGGAGATGCAGGGGAGGAGCCTGAGTTGCTATAGTGACTCGTGATGTCAGCGCCAGAGGCTAAGGGGCGGAGGGAGGGATAGGAGGGAGGAGGGGGTGAGTAACATGTAGGTGCCTGTACGTGTGTGGGGAGGACTGTGGGAGAGGAGTGCGTGCGTGATGCGTGCGAGGAAAGCAAGGAGAGAAGCCAAGGAGACGCGCTTCTGACCAGGCGAGCGATGGACCCAAAAACACCAGTCTGGAAACTCGAGACCCCGTGCGTAAAGCTTGCATGGGCGCGCTATTAAACTTTTCCAAGCAAACGGGAATAACTTCACATAATTTGGCAATTATAATAAGAGGTAAGCAACTTTTACACGCTGGCTAGGACCCAACAACGCTGGGATTATTGACGCCTGCCTCACTTGTGCCTCGCTTGTGGTTCGCTTTTACGCGCGGCTGCAAAAAAAACAGAAAAAAGTTATCCACGGAGTTTCTTCCATTGTTGTCCACACTTGTCGCGATGTCAGGTGCATGCGTCTTGGCTTTCCAGCCCCGAAATGCAAAACGTGGCATCCATCCGTGCGCATTGGAGAAGAAAGAAAAGAGTTGATATGATCTGGAGTGTTTTTTTTTTCTTGTTTACGCAGAAACGGCGCCCGTGTCAAGTCAATCATTCTACACAGGCGCTGTAAGGTTAGGTTATCTGCTGCGGATTCCCTTGCTTAATGAGGCCCTGGTCACTCACAAAACCTGGAATGTAGTTTACTTTTAATCATTCATTTGTGCCAATAGTGTTGAATGTGTGTATTCGTTATTACAAGGGAATCTACATATAGTAATTTCAACTTCTAGAAAAAAAAACATTTTGCGGTGCAATTAAAAAGCACCCCATGGACCCACTTCGCCTGCGCGTTTCCTTGGTAATGTTGCTTGCAATAATCTTTCACAGTGCACACAAATGTCCCTTATAGTGTGTTGTGCCACCTGCAAAAAGTCCCATTGTCACTTTAACTACACAAGTTGACACAGTATTGAAGTAGATTTTCAAGCTATGCTCTGAGTTTGCAAAAAAATTGTGTTTTCATTTCTGGCAATAAATGTTTTGATTCTTCCCTGCAGGGTGGTTCTGTCCCGCCTGCCATACAGCAAATAGACAAATAAAATCAGTCAACTTTGATATAGCATTACAACAGCAGCATAAAGGTTTTTTATTGTGTTTTATTCCATCCAGTCTTCTGTACAGAGGTGTAATTATTCTGCCTGGGAGAGAAACAGCAGGAGTTCTGTGTTTCTGGTGTTATGCAGAGAAAGTAGGCTGGAACAGTAAAGTGTGTGCAGTGTGTTGGCAAAGTGCAGGCTGGGCTCTAACAGGGCATGAAGCAGAGGTGAGGAGAAAATGTCCCCAGAGGTTTGAGTTACAAAGAGGAGATTTATCAAGGTCAGGCGGAGGTTTGGAAGATGATCCCACTTTGGCGAAGTGGATGACCTGCTCCGCCCTGCGTGACAGAGCGGAGATGTCATATGGGAGTTACAGAAAAGAGGAATATTGTCAGGAATGGGATGATACGATGGAGTGAGTGTTGTTTTTTCTTTTTCAAACCGATGTGAAATGATTCTGATAAAGCGTATTTACGGAACTTTTTGTTTTCCAATTCATACGTTCTGGAATGAGCAAAAGCAAGGGCTGTAGCCATCAGGATTAAAGCTCGGGTACCTAA